CTAGAAAAATTATAAAACAAACATCAGATTTGATTGTTATATATATCCATATTAATAAAATTATAAAACAACTATATAATATATCTGTTTAAAAAATATCATTTAAAGACAATTTTAAAAATTAATGTGAATATATCCATTAAGATAAAATATTTAAAAACAACATTAAAAATCATTGTAATGAAAAAATAACTCTCATTCTGGTGCATTCTCACCTCTGATATAAGATAATAGATATATATATATATATCGATATTATTTTTATTTGATATTAATTAAATTTGATGCAATAATACGAAATTAATAATATTTTAGTTAATAGAATTATATTAATATATTAGAAAATATATTAAAATTGTATTTTTAGATTTTAAATATGTTATCTTTTCTAATATTTTAACTCTTATTTATTTACAAGTTTATACTTTGTAATTTTATGATTATACTATTAATATTTTTATTAAAATTAACATATTATATTTATTATTATAGATGACAAAAATAAACACAATTAATTATGGTAATTAGATATATTTAAATGTAGTTTGATATGTTTTAGAAAATATTAATGCAATAGTTTTAAAAAATATTGAAAATATATCATTTATGTTAATATTTTTTTTTTAGAAACTCCATAGATTTCTACCTATTGGAGTGGAAGAATTAAGATAAGTTTTAGAAAATATTTGTTTTATATTGGAAAGAAATTCCATGGGTTTCTCTCCATTGGAGATGCTCTCATTTCATAATAAAAAGCCCCTACCAAAGCTGGTTTTGATCGTTTTAGATGGCGGACGACAGATCCACCGTCCCTAGCCGCGACAAACAACAAGCATCAGTAGACTCAATAAGCTCATTACCTGATGTGATCCTCCAACATATTCTCTCTTTTATTCCGACCAAATTCGCCATGAGAACATCACTCTTGTCAAAACGATGGAGGCATGTATGGTGCGATACACCTTCTCTCTCTTTCGAAAACAAACAGACGCCTGCTTGGATAACTGAAATCCTAAATCGTTACACGGCTCTCAAGATGATGAGTTCGCCATGTCCCGCAACGTGGAGAATCTGTCAATTAGACTCTGGCTTAAGAACGGTGTTGAGTTTGAGTTTCCTGATTTTTTCTACAACAATTCCTCTCTCAAGCAACTCACCCTTTTCTTACACTCGCCATATATGAATCCAACATGCTCTGTTTCTTGGACATCCTTGAAGAAGTTGTCCTTGAGTTGGTGTAAACTCCCTAATGAATCCATTGCTAAGATTCTGTCTGGTTGTCCCATTCTTGAAAACTTAAAAATGGATTCCTGCAATGAGCTTAGCTTTCTTGATCTCAGCAAATACCCGTGTCTGAGAACATTAAGAGTATGCTACACCGGGGGGTCTCGGGGACCAACCGAGTTTGTGGCACCACATATCCATTCTCTCAAATTGATCAACTTTTACTCACCATCTACTTTACTTGATGTCTCATCTTTAACCCAAGCTAAAGTGGACATTTACTATTTAGGTATTAATGTAGAATTCGATCCTTATTTTCTTCGAGTTATGGTGCCAAAGATGCTAGAGAAGTTACAGAACGTAGAGAAGCTTACTTTGGGAGAATGCTTTCTCCAGGTATGTTTTGGTATTATTCTTGCATTCTATACTATGCCTACAATCTATGTTACCTGCACGTGCGGTACTGATCATCATTATGTTTTGGTATTGACTGGTCTGTGTTTAGATTTTATCTTTTGCCGAAATTCGTGGTGCTCCTTTTCCGACGTTCAAGGTCAAAGCTTTGACTCTTAAGACATCAATATCTCATTATGTTATTCCTGGTATAGAAAGGATGTTACAAAACTCACCTGACTTGAAGAAGATAACAGTTGGCTTAAGAACTTGCGACGCCATAATACCGGTACATTGACACCGTAAACCTCTTTATTTCCCCTGACCATTCTAACTGTCTTATCGATCTGAGTTTGAATATGTTCTTTTTCTATTGTACAGGACACGGATTTTGACACCTACATATATCCGGATCAATGCTGGAGATCTAAAAATGGGATCCTTTGGAACAAGAAGCGGTGGGATGTAAAGTCAAACCACGTGGTTTCATTCATGGAACTTGTGCTTGAAAAAGCAGAGGCATTGGTGGTACGATTTGAAGGCCGTTACCGTAGGTTTAAAGAGTTGGTTCCAACACTTTCGAACAAGAATAATGTCTCCATTGTGCTCTCAACCAAGCTGTCGAAAATAGATGTGAGAGGTGAATGATAGGGTTTTAGTTTTCACTCTTATTGAACATTTTGCATCGAGCTTTCATTTTAATATACTTGACGAAGAAGACGTTTGCATTATTTGAGGACAAGTTAGGAAAATAATGTCTAGTAAAGTTTTCTTTATTACAGTTAAAGGATATGATTGTTTTAAAATAGTAAACGAAATTTTAATCTACTTGTTACAAATCAGAGCCTAGGGAGGTAGAAGAACTGTGAATCTATCCATCTCACCAACCAAGATCAAATGTACGTGTTTAC